AAAATTTGGAGGGAACGATGTTTTTCTTTTTGTGGGGGAGGGAAACGTTAAAATAATAAAAAATTAATTTCAATTAGTAATTTTTAGTGCTAATTGTATTTTTATTGCCGGTAAAAGGATATCTTTTACTGGCTAATGCTCATGTGCCGCTAATTTTTCAGCTTAAGGAATTTATTAGCAATATTGCCTTATTGCCGCTAAATAATTACCGCTAAAGGTCTTTTTTGTAGTAGTGTATCTCATATCATAATGGGTACCCGCGCTCACTGGGGGTGTACAGACTCCGGGAGGGGCCCCTTACGGCCCAAGCGCAATATCAAGCCACTCGTGGCATCATAAACAGGCTCTCGGCCTCATATCAATCCCAAGCCACCTCGTGGCGTACAATCTCAGGCCCTCGGCCTCATTATCATAATCAGTATATCACTGGTGCGCGCGTGCAGCCCGACCCAAAAGTATCCTCACAACACAGGCCCTCGGTCTTACTCAGTCAGAATCTCATAAGCTCCTCGGGCATCAGTAAAACATGAAGCTCAGCTCAAAATATCTTTAAAATATTATTTAATGTGTTTAAAACAGAATAACATAGCTGAGTTTTGAAAATAGTGAAAATATAGCATGACTGAGCATCAATATGAAATCAACAGTGAGGAAAAATGTCACTTAAAATCCCCTAAGGGTTCAAATAGTTGGCACGAAGCCCAAACATGACATTTAGCCCAAAGTATAATAATATCAAACCATTAGCTACCAAATATACAAAAAAATAGTCATTCGGGATGGACTAAGTCACAATCCCCAACGGTGCACGACCCCACACTCGTCATCTAGCGTGTGCGTCACCTCAACACAGCCGAACGTTGTGTAATCCGGGGTTTCATACCCTCAGAACAATATTTAAAATCATTACTCACCTCGAACTAGCCCGAAAAGCTACTCTGCAACACGCTTGCCTCTCGAACCAACTTCCGAGTGCTCCAAATCTACCAAGTTTAGATTTTTATCATCAAATTATGCTAAATGAATGAATTCCAATTGAAAAATATCGATTTTAAGCACAAAACCCGAAATCAGTCAAAACCCGACCGCCAGGCCCGCGTCCCGGAACTAGACAAACTTTATATCAAATGTTCTTCATCATCTCACGAGTCCGTACATATAAAGAATTCGAAAATCAGAGTTCGTTAGACCCCTCAAATCATCCCTATAAGGTCTCAAAATCTCAAGTCCTAATTCTACCTTTTTCTAATGATTTTCATGAATTAAACACTAATATTTTATTCCTTAATCACAAATAATCGAGTTTTAGGGTCCAAAATCCCTACCTCAATGAAGAACAATGATTTCCTCTCTTCAAAATCGCCCAAAGCTCCAAAATTCGAGTTAAAAAGTGAAGAAACCCTCTGAAAATCGCGAAGGAGGAATTAATATATTCTGTCCAGACAATTCTGCATCTGCGGTCATCTTACCGCATCTGCAGTACCGCATTTGCGGTTCTTGATCCGCTTCTGCGGAAATCACTTAAGCTCCCCGTCTCCCGCATCTGCGACATCACAGATGCAGTCCTCCTAGCCGCTTCTGCGGTTTCCTGACAAACGTACCTCTGGCCGCTTCTGCGGCCCCTATTTTGCATATGCGGTGCCACGCCTGCGGTCCCCTATCCGCAGGTGCAGAAATACCAGAAGCAGCACAATCTGCAGCTGTAATAAATCTTCAAACTCCCTGTCAACCATCCGAAATCACCCTGAGGCCCCCGGGACCTCAACCAAAAGTACAAACATATCCCATAACCTAATTCAAACTTGTACCAATCTTCAAAACACCTCAAACAACATCAAAATCACCAAAACTCATCTAATTCAAGCCTAAGGTTCTAAATTCTTCCGCATTCCGCTTTTGATCAAAAACCCAACCAAACCACGTCCAAATGACCTGAAATTTTGCACATACATCCCAAATGACATAACGAAGCTATTGCAACTTCCGGAATTTCATTCCGACCCTTATATCAAAATCTCACCTATCAACCGGAAAACGCCAAAAACTCAATTCCGCCAATTCAAGCCTAAATCTACTCCGGACCTCCAAAACACATTCCGATCACACTCCTAAGTCCCAAATCATCTCCCAAAGCTATCCGAACCATCAAAACTCACATTCTAGCCCTCAACACATAAGTCAACATCCAGTTGACTTTTCCAACTTAAGCCTTCTTAAAAGAGACTAAGTGTCTCAAACCTTCTCAAAACCTGTCCGAACCAGAGCCAACCACCCGATCACATATAAAACTGATAATTAAAGCAAATAGAAGCAGAAATGGGGAAAACGGAGCGGCAGCTCATGAGACAACCGGCCGGGTCGTCACATCCTCCCCCTCTTAAACAAACGTTCGTCCTCGAACGAGTCAAGAAACGTACCTAAAGCCTCGAATAGGTGAGGATATCTGCTCCGCATCTCCTGCTCGGTCTCCCAGGTAGCCTCCTCCACAGGCCGACCTCTCCACTGCACTTTCACTGAAGCTATATCTTTTGATCTCAACTTCCGAACCTGACGCTCCAAAATAGCTGCTGGCTCCACATCATAAGTCAGATCACCCTCCAACTGAACCGTGCTGAAATCCAAAACATGAGACGGGTCCCCAACATACTTCCGGAGCATAGAAACATGGAATACTGGGTGCACACCTGACAGGCTGGGTGGCAAAGCAAGCTTATAAGCCACCTCCCCAATCCTCCGAAGTACCTCAAAAGGCCCAATGAACCGTGACTCAATTTACCCTTCTTCCCAAACCTCATAACACCCTTCATGGGTGAAACCTTCAACAGAACTTTCTCACCAACCATGTAGGACACATCCCGAACCTTCTTGTCAGCATAGCTCTTTTGTCTCGACTGAGGTGTACGAAGCCTCTCCTGAATCACCTTCACCTTGTCTAAGGCATCCTACACCAAATCTGTACCCAATAGCCTGGCCTCGCCCGCTCAAACCAACCAACTGGAGATCTAAACCGTCTCCCATACAAAGCCTCATATGGAGCCATCTGAATACTCGACCGCTAACTGTTGTTATAAGCAAACTCTGCGAGCGGTAGGACCTGATCCCATGACCCTCCGAAATCAATAACACAAGTGCGTAACATATCCTCCAACATCTGAATAGTGCGCTCGGACTGCCCGTCCGTCTGAGGGTGAAAAGTTGTGCTCAGCTCAACCTGAGTACCCAACTCTCGCTGCACAGACCTCCAAAACTGAGAAGTAAACTGAGTGCCCCTATCTGAAATGATAGAAACTGGGACACCATGCAACCGAACAATCTCCCGGATATATATCTCTGCTAACCGCTCAGAGGAATAAGTAGTACAAATAGGAATGAAGTGCGCGGACTTGGTCGGCCGATCTACAATCACCCAAATAGCATCAACTTCTTCAAAGTCCGTGGGAGCCCAACTGCAAAGTCCATAGTGATCCGCTCCCACTTCCACTCTGGAATATCCATCCGCTGAAGCAAGCCACCCGGTCTCTGATGCTCATATATCACCTGCTGACAATTGAGACATCGAGCTAAAAATCCGACAATGTCTTTCTTCATTCTTCTCCACCAATAATGATGTCTCAAATCCTGATACATCTTCGCGGCTCCCGGATGAATGGAATACCACGAGCTATGGGCCTCCCCCAGAATCAACTCCCGAAGCCCATCTACGTTGGGCACACATATCCGGCCCTGCATCCTCAACACCCCATTATCTCCGATAGTCACATCTCTGGCATCATCATGCTGAACTCTGTCCTTAAGGACAAGCAAATGAGGATCATCATACTGGCGCTCCCTGATGCGCTCATATAAGGAAGACCGAGAAATCACGCAAGCCAATACCCTGTTGGGCTCCAAAATGTCCAACCTCACAAACTGATTGGCCAAATCCTGAACATCAACTGCAACAGGCCTTTCCCCAACTAGAATATACGCCAAACTCCCCATACTCACCGTCTTTCGGCTCAAAGCGTCGGCCACTACATTGGCCTTCCCCGGGTGATACAAAATAGTAATGTCATAATCCTTAAGCAACTCCAACCACCTCCGCTGCCTCAAATTGAGATCCTTCTGCTTGAACAAGTGCTAGAGGTTGCGATGATCGGTATACACCTCACAAGACACACCATACAAATAATGCCTCCAAATCTTCAACGCGTGAACAATGGCAGCCAACTCCAAATCGTGAACAGGGTAGTTCTTTTCATGGGGCTTCAACTGACGAGAAGCATAAGCAATAACTCTACCCTCCTGCATCATAACACACCCAATACCAACTCTCGAAGCATCATAATATACGGTATAAGAACCTGAAGCTGATGGCAATACTAGCACTGGAGCTGTGGCAAGGTAGTCTTGAGCTTCTGAAAGCTCTCCTCACACTCATCAGACCACTGAAATGAAACACCCTTCTGAGTCAACTTGGTCAAGGGCGATGCAATAGACGAGAATCCCTGAAAAAACCGGCGATAATAACCCGCCAAACCAAGAAAACTGCGAATCTTTGTAGCTGAGGACGGTCTGGGCCAACTCTGAACCGCCTCTATCTTCTTCGGGTCCACCTGAATACCCTCGGTGGACACCACGTGCCCCAAGAAAGCCACTGAACTGAGCCAGAACTCACATTTGGAGAACTTTGCATAAAGCTTCTCCTCTTTCAATCTCTGCAGCACCACTCTCAGATGCTCCGCGTGCTCCTCCTGACTACGCAAATACACCAGAATATCATCAATGAAGACTATGACAAACGAGTCGAGATACAGTCGGAACACACTGTTCATCAAATGCATGAATGCTGCTGGGGCATTGGTTAGCCCGAAAGACATCACCAAGAACTCATAATGACCATATCTGGTCCTGAAAGTTGTCTTAAGAATGTCTGAGTCCCTGATCTTCAACTGGTGATAACCTGAGCGGAGATCAATCTTAGAGAATACTCTCGCTCCCTGAAGCTGGTCGAACAAATCATCGATACGAGGCAAAGGATACTTATTCTTGATTGTCACTTTGTTCAGCCGCCTGTAATCAATGCACATTCTCATCGTGCCATCCTTCTTCTTCACAAAGAGAACCGGCGCACCCCACGGTGATACACTAGGATGAATGAACCCCTTATCCAAGAGTTCCTGAAGCTGCTCCTTTAACTCTTTCAGCTCCGCTGGTGGCATACGATATGGTGGAACAGAAATGGGCTGAGTGCCTAGCACCAAGTCAATACCAAAATCTATATCCCTGTTCGGTGGCATACCCGGCAGGTCTGCAGGAAATACGTTGGAAAAATCCCTCACAACTGGAACAGAATTAATACTGGGAGTCTCTGCACCAACATGCCTCACAAAGGCTAGATATGAAAGACAACCTTTCCCAACCATACGCTGGGCCTTTAAGAAAGAAATCACTCTGCTGGGAACATAATCGGTCGAACCTCGCCACTCAATCTGTGGCACACCACGCATAGCCAAAGTCACTGTCTTGGCATGACAGTCCAGAATAGCCCGACACGGAGATAACCAGTCCATGCCCAAAATAATATCGATGTCCACCATAGATAATAACAATAGATCCACTCGGGTCTCCAGACCCCCAATAGACACAACACACGACTGGTACACATGGTCTACCACAACAGTATCGCCCACCGGTGTAGAAACATGAACAGAAGAAACAAGGGACTCGCAGGGCATATCCAGATAATGGGGTAAAATAAGACGACACATAAGAGAAAGTAGAGCCAGGGTCAAATAACATAGAAGCATCCCTGCGGTAGACTGAGATAATACCTGTAATCACCGCATCTGAAGCAATCGCATCTGGCCTAGCTGGAAGTGCATAGAAGCGAGCCTGGCCACCTCCGGATCGACCTCCCCCTCTGGGGAGACCCCTAGATGACTGTCCCCCACCCCTAGCTGGCTGGGTGGGTGGTGAAGTGGCTGGGGCTGAGGCTGAGGCTGATGACTGACCCCTCTGATGAGAACGACGAGGGCAATGCCTCCACAAGTGGCCTATCTCTCCACACTCATAACAACTCCCGGGTACTGGAGACGGGGACTAATGGGAACCCCTAGCACCGGCATGACTAGCAGACGCCCCTGGCGTAGAAGAATCCTGAACCGATGGAGCACGGGATGAACCCTGGGCTGGAAGTGCACTAAGTGAAGAATGGCCCTGTTGAGAACTGTGAGGACTATGGCCTGATGATGCCCCACGATAACTGGGTGAGCTGATTGAGCATGTCGGAACTGTCGGCCTCTGCCGTGCTGAAACTGGCCCCTCGAAGGAGCACCCCCAAAACCACCATGTCCTTGAGGCCTCCCTCTCCTCGCGCTCCTGGCGACGAACTGACTCAATCTCTCGAGCAATATCCAAAACCTCCTCGAATGTAGCACCTGACACCTCTCCCTGGTCATGAGAACCCGAAGCTGGTAGGTGAGGCCATCAACAAACCTCCTGATCCTCTCCTTCTCAGTAGCAACCAGCCAAATAGCATGTCGAGCCAACTCCGAGAACCTTATCTCATACTGTGTAACTGTCATATCCCCCTGTCAAAGCTGCTCGAACTGCCTACGCAGCTCCTCCCTGCGGGACTGTAGGATATACTTCTCCAGAAATAGAGCGGAGAACTGCTGCCAAGTCAGAGGTGTCGAACCAACAGGCCTACGCCTCTCATATGCCTCCCACCAAGTGAAGGCAGCTCCGGTAAACTGAAAGGTCGTGAATGCAACCCCGCTGGTCTCCAGAATACCCGCAGTGCGAAGAATCCTCTGACATCTGTCTAAGAAACCCTGGGCATCCTCGCCCTCTGCTCCGCTGAAAGTAGGAGGCTGGAGTCTGCCAAACCTCTCCAATCTACGTTGCTCATCCTCCGACATAATAGGAGCTACATAACCCTGAGCAGCTGCCACTGGCCGGGCTAGTGGTGCCTCCGGTGTCTGCACTCCCTGAACCACCGGATCGGGTGTACGGGCGGCGGGAGTCTGAGAGCCTCCCCCTGCCTGAGAAGTGGCTACGGCAGTAGAAACCGCGACCGCCTGAGCAAGGCTAGTACATACTGTCAATATCTGGGCCAAAGTCTCCAGAAGACCCGGAATCATAATGGGCACAGCTGGTGCTTGAGCTGGTGCTGCTGGAGTGTCTACCACTGGGACCTAACCCTGAACTGGGGTGGGTGGGTCTGCAGGTGCTGTCCCAGCCGCTGTGGGGGCTGTACCTCTGCCCCTACCACGGCCTCGGCCATGTCCTCAGCCTCTAGTGGCCTCCGCTGGTGGTACTGGTAGCCGTCCATCCTGACCGGTAGCGCGTGTCCTCACCATCTGTGAGAGAATAGAATAACAAAAGTTTAGTACTCGGATCAACAAATTCGCACGACAAGAATTTCAAGAATATGGAATTTTCCTAAAGGTTCTGCAGCCTCTCGAGGATAAATACAAACGTCTCCGTACCGATCCGCGAGACTCTACTAAACCTGCTCATGACTCGTGAGACCTATGTAACCTAGGCTCTGATACCAACTTGTCACGACCCTAAACCCAAACCCGATCGTGATGGCGCCTCTCGTGAAGACAAGGCCAGCCGACACACTTCCAATTCACTTTAAGCAGTTGATATAATAAAACTCAAGTCTTTAATAGGAATAAAATCCCAAAATAACAGTATAAGCTGCGGAAATAAAACCAACACAGCCCGACATCGGGGTGTCACCAGTCATGAGCATCTAAAACAAAAATAAAAGTCTGAAGTCTACTCCACTACTATATAACTAAATCAAAAAAACTAAGATAGAGGGAGAATGCACTGGGCTGCGAATCGCCAAGCAGCTACCTAGTAAATCTCCGAAGACCTGCTGGAACTATCAACCCTCAGGAGCAGGAAAAATGTCATTAAAAATCCCCTAAGGGTTCAAACAGTTGGCACGAAGCCCAAACATGGCATTTAGCCCAAAGTATAATAATATCAAACCATTAGCTACCAAATATACAGAAAAATAGTAATTCGGGATGGACTAAGTCACAATCCCCAATGGTGCACGATCCCACGCTCGTCATCTAGCGTGTGCGTCACCTTAACACAGCTGAACGTTGTGTCATCCGGGGTTTCATACCCTCAGAACAACATTTAAAATCATTACTCACCTCGAACTAGCCCGAAAAGCTACTCTGCAACACGCTTGCCTCTCGAACCAACTTCCGAGTGCTCCAAATCTACCAAGTTCAGATTTTTATCATCAAATTATGCTAAACGAATGAATTCCAATTGAAAAATATCGATTTTAAGCACAAAACCCGAAATCAATCAAAACCCGACCCCCAGGCCCGTGTCTTGGAACTGGACAAACTTTATACCAAAATGTTCTTCATCATCTCACGAGTCCGTATATATAAAAAATTCGAAAATCGGAGTTCGTTAGACCCCTCAAATCATCCCTATAAGGTCTCAAAATCTCAAGCCTTAACTCCACCTTTTTCTACTGATTTTCATGAATTAAACACTGATATTTTATTCCTTAATCACAAATAATCGAGTTTTAGGGTCCAAAATCCTTACCTCAAAGAAGAACAATGATTTCATCTCTTCAAAATCGCCCAAAGCTCCAAAATTTGAGTTAAAAAGTGAAGAAACCCTCTGAAAATCGCGAAGGAGGAATTAATATATTCTGTCCAGACATTTCCGCATCTGCGGTCATCTTACCGAATCTGCGGTACCGCATTTGCGGTTCTTGATCCGCTTCTGCGGAAATCACTTAAGCTCCCCGTCTCCCGTATCTGCGGTTCCACACCCGCATCTCCAACATCGCAGATGCGTTCCTCCTAGCCGCTTCTGCGGTTTCCTGACAAACGTACCTCTGGCCGCTTCTGCGGCCCCTATTTCGCATATGCGGCGCAGCACCTGCGGTCCCCTATCCGCAAGTGCAGAAATACCAGAAGCAGCACAATCTGCAGCTGCAATAAATCTTCAAACTCCCCGTCAACCATCCGAAATCACCCCGAGGCCCCCGGGACCTCAACCAAAAGTACAAACATATCCCATAACCTTATTCAAACTTGTACCAATCTTCAAAATACCTCAAACAACATCAAAATCACCAAAACTCATCGAATTCAAGCCTAAGGTTCTAAATTCTTCTGCATTCCACTTTTGATAAAAAAGCCAACCAAACCACGTCCAAATGACCTAAAATTTTGCACACACATCCCAAATGACATAACGAAGCTACTGCAACTTCCGGAATTCTATTCCGACCCCTATATCAAAATCACACCTATCAACCGGAAAACGCCAAAAACTCAATTCCGCCAATTCAAGCCTAAATCTACTCCGGACCTCCAAAACTCATTCCGATCACACTCCTAAGTCCCAAATCATCTCCCAAAGCTATCCGAACCATTGGCATCCGATCCCTCTAACACATAAGTGAACATCCGGTTGACTTTTCCAACTTAAGCCTTCTTAAAAGAGACTAAGTGTCTCAAACCTTCTCAAAACCTGTCCGAACCCGAGCCAACCACCCGATCACATATAAAACCGATAATTAAAGCAAATAGAAGCAAAAATGGGGAAAATAGAGCGGTAACTCATGAGACGACCGGCCGGGTTGTCACAGGGTTTTACGAATTTGTGAATTATTTGGATTGGGTGTTCTAGAAAATGATTGAGAATATAACTTGGAGTTTATATCTCAATTTTGAGAGAGATTGGTTAAGTTTAGAGTGCTTTTTAGGTAAAATTTCATATTGAACTCAAAGAAAAGTTTCTAAATTGTATCACGATTGTATGATAATCATATCAGATTTATTTCATAATTGTATCACAATTGTATCAAAATTGTATTTAACTTGTATCTGATACATCAATACATAAAATAATATCGGATACAATACGAATACAATTATAATACAATATTGTATCAGTTTATGTTTATAGTCATGATTGAAACTTGAAGAAGATGAAGATTAAAATTGTATCACGATTGTATCATAATTGTATTTGTGTCATAAGTGTTGGAAAAATTATATCACAAATGTATGATAGTTGTATACGGTGATGAGCAATTGTAAGTTTGTGACCTATTTCATATTTGAATCGTGTATGAGCCATTATCCTATTAGTAATAGTTTTGCTAGAGTTCAACGATTTTTGAATTGTTGAAGAAACTTTTAGCAACTGAATTTTTTTGTCATCACATGACATTCTATGACGTGTGTATGGATTTCTTATTGCAAAGATATTTTTATTTTTTGGTTGCTAATATGGAAAGCAGATATGTGTTATTGGATTTGTAGATTAGGGATAACTTTAACATTATAAGGATAATAGAAACATAAAGAGCCTGTTTGGAAAGCCACCTTGAATTTGGATTTGGGTGTAATTGGGTGTAATTACACAGTTTGACATGTTTGTTTGGCCAAGTAATTACTTGGTCAGCATGGAATTGGGGGTAATTGGAGGGGTGTAATTACACTCTCTAATTCTTAAGGGGGAGGTGAGAATTGGTGGTAATTACACTGTGTAATTACAAGGTTGCTTTTTAGTTTCTTTCCTTTTTATTTTTATTTAAATTTATTTTCTTTATAATTTTTTATTTTTATTATTTTAATTTTTTAATTTGATTTTTACTTTTTAATTTCTTTTGAAATTTTAAAATATATTTTCTTTGTACATTATTTATCTTTTATTTCTCTATCTTTACTTCTTGTGATTCCATGTAATTGCTTATATTTTATTTTTTATTTATTTTATTATTCTATTTTTTGAAACTACACCTCCTAATATTAAAAATAATGAGTCATTAATAAACTTGGCATATAATGAGTGATGCAATTAAAGTGGAACTTCGTTGTTAAATGTGGTTATAAACTTATCATGTTTCCTATCTTAAGTTGCAGCGGGACTTACTATTATTATGTTGGAATTTGACATAAGTTAAACTATTTTATATTTTTGAAATTGTGTTATATTCATGGTTCCAATTTACTTGTTTAGTAGTATTGACTCACATTGCATGTTGTTCATTTTTTAGTTAGAATTGGTAGATTAGTTTTGTCAAACATTTGAATAATGTTATGACACTATATTTATAA